TATTTTTTTGCCTTGATATTCTGGGTTATAGGGCTGTGTGGAAGGGCCCTATGTCACAGATTTATAAGGATGGATGCAATTTGACTCCACTTTAACTGTCACGGCTCAATTCTATGGAATTATAGTTGTGGTTTTACCTTCTCTGCCAAAGAGTGCTGGTGCACCACTGAACTACAACTCCCAGGATCCCATAGCACTGAGTACTGGCAGTTAAGTCCTTTAGGGCCTCATCACACTAGAGAATGAATCCACTTTAAATCCGATTGCTGCCTCCTGCAGAATTCTGGGGTTTGTAGTTTAGGGAGGAGCCTTTAATAGCCTCACTGAACTACAAACCCCAGAATTCTGCAGGAAGAAGAAATGGATTTAAAGTGGATTCATTCTCTAGTGTGATGAAGTAGCAAGTTTATTTATTATTTATTTACGATTTACTATATTTATATACCGTCCCTGTCAGTCCGCAGGTGACTAGGGGCGGTTTACAGTTGGTGCCAAGACCATAAAATACAAATTCAATACAATAAAAACAATTGAGTAATAAAAACATAACAAAATCAGTAAAAACATGAACATTAGGGTCTCCTATTAAAAACATGGTCCAATCACATCGTCCAACTATTCCATTTTTCCTATGTCTGTTACACTGTATTTAGAAATACAATGATGACATGATGGCAACAGTCCATGATGACATGACATCCCTCCATGCTGACATGATGGCAACAGTCCTGGCCAGCAGTGGCTCCCAAAGTGACCCATTTAAGGTGGAATCAGTTGTCAAACAGGGATGTGTTATTGCCCCAACTTTATTCTCCATCTTCATCGCTATGATACTTCACCTTGTTGATGGGAAGATTCCCACCGGAGTGGAAATCATCTATCGGACAGATGGCAAGCTGTTTAACCTCAGCAGACTGAAAGCCAAAACCAAGGTTACGACAATATCTGTTGTAGAAATCCAGTATGCTGATGATAACGTCATCTGTGCGCATTCAGAAGAAGATCTACAAGCCACTCTAAACACCTTTGCAGAAGCATACGAGAAGCTCGGCCTGTCCTTGAACATGAAGAAAACCAAAGTGCTCTTCCAGCCGTCACCAGCCAACCCCTTTCCAATGTGGGAGATACAGCTTAATGGTGTAAAATTCGAAAATGTCGACCATTTCCGCTACCTTGGCAGCCACCTCTCCACCAAAGTCAACATCGACATTGAAATACAACACCGCCTGAGCTCTGCAAGTGCAGCATTTTCCTGAATGAAGCAGAAAGTGTTTGAGGACCGGGACATCCGTAGAGATACCAAAGTGCTTGTTTATAAAGCTATTGTCCTCCCAAACCTGCTCTATGCCTGCGAAACGTGGACTGCCTACAGAGGTCACATGCAACTCCTGGAACGATTCCATCAGTGCTGCCTCTGGAAAATCCTGCAAATCTCTTGGGAAGACAGGTGGACAAATGTCAGCGTGCTGGAAGAAGCAAAGACCACTAGCACTGAAGCGATGGTCCTCGCCATCAACTCTGCTGGACCGGCCACGTTGTCTGGATGCCCGACCACCGTCTCCCAAAGCAGTTGCTCTACTCCGAACTCAAGAATGGAAAACGGAAGTTGGTGGACAGGAAAAGAGATTTAAAGATGGGCTCAAAGCCAACCTTAAAAACTCTGGCATAGACACTGAGAACTGGGAAGCCCTGGCCCTTGAGCGCTCCAGCTGGAGGTCAGCTGTGACCAGCAGTGCTGCAGAATTTGAAGAGGCATGAATTGAGGGTGAAAGAGAGAAACGTGCCAAGAGGAAGGCGCATCAAGCCAACCCCAACCAGGACCGCCTTCCACCTGGAAACCAATGCCCTCACTGTGGGAGAAGATGCAGGTCAAGAATAGGGCTCCACAGCCACCTACAGGCTCACAAGAATTCTGATCCTGGTAGACTATCCTACTCCAGGCCCGTTGCCAGGATTTCGTTTGGGGGGGGGGGCTAAATTTTTTTCAGGGGGTTTCGGGGGGGGCTGTGTTTCGGGGGGGGCTGAGTCTGAATGAAAGAGGGTCTACCCTAGCAAACCTTTTGTATCGTTACCCCAATACCCCCATGCATATGGGATATATTGAGTATGGTGATCAGATCATGATATGAATAAACATAACAGTTTAAATAATGCACCAGTAAGGCCTTTTCGCGAACCACCATGAGAATTGGGGGGGGGGCTGAAGCCCCTCAAGCCCCCCCCCCTACATGCCTGTCCTACTCGGCCAGCAAGGGATCACCTAAGTAAGTAATTAGAAATGCCTATGGTGTCAAACTGCATTAATTTTATACTGTAGAACTGGATGAGATCCCAAGGCTCCTCCAGTCCATGCAGGAATACACAACCAAAGCACTCCCAACAGATGGCCATCCCGAGGAGACTCCAAGGCAGCAAATTCCACTGCCAAAGAAGTTCTTACCTCTTCCTAATGTTTAGCAGGAATGTATTTGTGCCCCCCCCCCCTTCCTTGCAATTGGAATCCATTACTCCGTGCCCTAAGTAGCAGGAAACAGGCCTGGCCCACTCCTCTCATACTGTCATGCCCCCTCTCAGGCTTGTTTTCTGCAAGCTCAACAGACCCAGTTCCTCCTAGAGTTTGGCTCCTAGGCGTGTGTGTGTGTGTGTGTTTTCAAGGGAGCCATCCCCTCACCTGCTGGAGTCCTACCTGTCCCGCTGTCTCCTCTTCCTCCTCCTCCTCCCGCTCCTCGTGCCTCCCACCAGGGCTCCTCCAGCGTGTCTGCCATGCTCCCCAAACAGCCGCTTCTCCTTTGGCCACGCCGGCTCCATCCAGGAAGTGGCCCGCCCCACAGCCTGGAGGGAAGCCCGCCCACACAGCCAGGCAGGGGCGGGCCTCGCAGGCGCCTCAGCAGAGGCAGCAGCGAAGGGAAGGGTCAGAGAATCATAGAGTTGGAAGAAACCTCATATAGGCCATCCAGTCCAAACCCTTGTCAAGAAGCAGGAAAATTGCTTTCAAAGCACCCTCGACAGATGGCCATCCAGTCTCTGTTTAAAAAACTCCAAAGAAGGCGCCTCTACCACACTCTGGGGCAGAGAGTTCCACTGCTGAACAGCTCTCACAGTCAGGAAGTTCTTCCTCATGTTCAGGAGGAATCTCCTTTCCTGTAGTTGGAAGCCATTGTTCCATTGTGTCCTAGTCTCCAGGGCAGCAGAAAACAAGCTTGCTTGCTCCCTCCTCCCTATGACTTCCTCTCACATATTTATACATGACTATTATGACTCCTCAGCAAGTGAGAGTCCAAAAGTGGCAGGCTCAAACGCAGCACCTCAATCAATGGCTGATACCAAATGAGAGACTCCCCCCTGGGCACACAGAAAACTGGGCAACTTGGAAGGCGCTGAACAGACTGCGCTCTGGCACCACGAGATGCAGAGCCAACCTTAAGAAATGGGGCCACAAAGTGGAATCCACAACATCCGCCGGGAAGTAGCGGTAAGCAAACAGTATTTTGCCCCCCCCCCCACCCAATCACTGATATATATTTTCTGTTCGTCATGGGAGTTCTGTGTGCCCATATTTGGTTCAATTCCATCATTGGTGGAGTTCAGAATGCTCTTTGATTGTAGGTGAACTATACATCCCAGTAACTACAACTCGCATATGTCAAGGTCTATTTTCTCCCAAGAGCACCTCAAGAATGCCCCTTGGCAAAATCAACTATATCGCAAAGGCTTGCTTTGCGTAATGGCTTGAGCCGCCCCTGTCCACGACATGCGAGTGTGGAGAAGAGCAAACCACAGACCACCTGCTGCGATGCACCCTGAGCCCTGCCACATGCACAATGGAGGACCTTCTTGCAGCAACATCAGAGGCACTCCAAGTGGCCAGATACTGGTCAAAGGACATTTAATCAACTACCAAGCTTGCAAACTTTGTGTTTTGTTCGTTTGTTAAAAATGCAATACAACTGTTTGGTTTGGTCCTGACACGATAAATAAATAAATTTGGTCTTCAGACTAAACATGTCCAGCTCTTTAAGCCACTCCTCATAGGGCTTGATCTCCAGACCCTTGATCATTTTAGTCGCCCTTCTCTGGACACATTCCAGCTTGTCAACATCTCCCTTCAATTGCGGTGCCCAGAATTGGACACAGTATTCCAGGTGTGGTCTGACCAAGGCAGAATAGAGGGGTAGCATGACTTCCCTGGATCTAGACACTATACTCCTATTGATGCAGGCCAAAATCCCATTGGCTTTTTTTTTTTTTTTTTTTTTGCTTCAACATGGGTCCCAAGGGAAGGGCCAGCAACACGCCCCAAACAAAAAAAAAACCTAAAGAAGGCCACCCAATTTAAATACCCAGGGTCACTGGGCTCCATAGATGGTGACACAATGTCAGATGTACAGTCACGAATAAATGCATCCTGGTTGAAATGGTTGAAACTACTGGCATTTTGTGAGACTCAAAAACACCTGAACAATTTAAGGCTAAGTTCTTAAAGCTAAGCTCCACAATATAGTTGTTTGCCTAGTAGCCTTCTACGGGGCAGAGTGCTGTAGCCAAGTTTCCTCTTGGGTTGCACCATCCAAGGATGCTCTCCTTGTACAGACCAACCCCCAGCTGCTGTTTTTCCTGCCATGGGAATCCTTGCCCGTAGGCTGTGACATACAAGGGACCTCCTGTCAATCCCGGCCAGTCTCTTTTCCAGCCAATCATGCGAGGGAGCAAGAAGTCTGAATAGCTATCAGAACTGTATAAAATGTCCTAACATGCATCTCTACACATTTTTCTTTTATGTCCTTTATATAAAGTGTCAAAAATCAAACTTTGCTTTTTAGATTGATTGATTTGCTTGTTTGCCTGTCTGTACAAGGGACAGAAGTTTCATAAAAACGTGGCCGGAAGTCAAGGACTGTGTAGTTTTTCTATCACTATAGCTCTATGTATTAGGTTGGCCCGCAGCCGCCTTTACAGCTTTACGGCAGGCACGCAAGGCGATGGTCGGCTTGTGCGACCGAAGACGTTGGAAAAGCGAGGTGCCGCTTTACGGCGGTGTGGCGGGGCACGTCAACAGCGATGGCGGAGGGGGAGGAAGCGCCTCCGCTGAGCAGCTGGTGAGTTGGACAACCTGTCGATGGGGCAGCTGCCTGAAAGGCTTGGGAGAGTAGTAGGATTTCCCCTATAGCTGCTGCCCTTCGTAGCAATCTCTGGGAGGCTACTAGACCGGCCAGATTCTAGATGGAAAGGCACTGCCTTAAATAGATCCAGAGAACCAGGTTGTTCTCGTCCCTTTTGGGGGGTTATTTCTGACCCCAAAGGAAAGATCTGTGAAGTTATTTTTTTCTTAAGGAATTAGGCTTCTAAGGTCTAGTTTTGTTGAGGATCAAGAGAAGCTGTCTAAAGATACATCTACTTGTGGGATTTATTAGGTCTTCAGGTTTTCCTCACCAAACTACAACTCCCATTATCCCTTTGGTATCTGCTGAGGTTTAGTTCCAAAACAACCTGCCTGCAATGTACCAATTTATTTATTTAAAACACTTATATTCCGCCCTTCTCACCCCGAAGGGGACTCAGAGCGGAGCACAACATATACATGGCAAACATTCAACGCCTGGATACAATACATAAACATTTAAAAACATTTATCTAAATATTAAAATACACCATTTAAAATAACACAATTTAAAACCGTCCTAGCCATCTGCATCAAATCCAATTGGCCCTGTCATCTGTCGCTTCATTGCCCTGACCCGAAAGCTTGGTCCCACAGCCAAGTTTTTACCATCCTTCTAAAGGACAGGAGGGAGGGGGTCGACCTGATCTCACAAGGAAGGGAGTTCCATAGCCGGGGAGCAATCACCGAGAAGGCCCTGTCTCTCGTCCCCACCAATCGCGCCTGTGACAATGGTGGAACGGAAAGCAGGGCCTCCTTGGAGGATCTTAATCTCCGCGATGGTTCATAGGGGGAGATGCGTTTGGACAGGTAATTTGGGCCAGGGCCATTTAGGGCTTTATAGGCCAAAGCCAGCACTTTGAATTGTGCCCGGTAGCAAACTGGCAGCCAGTGGAGCTGGCGTAACATGGGAGTTGTATGCTCCCTGTATGCCGCCCCAGTTATTAACCTGGCTGCCTCTCGTTGGACTATTTGAAGCTTCCGAGCAGTCTTCAAAGGCAACCCCACGTAGAGTGCATTGCAGTAGTCTATTCTAGATGTAACGAGAGTGTGGACCACCGTGGCCAAGTCTGACTTCCCAAGGTACGGGCGCAGCTGGCGCACAAGTTTTAATTGTGAGAACGCTCCCCTGGCCACTGCTGCAACCTGGGATTCCAGGCTCAGTGATGAATGCATGAAATTGATGAATTCAATTCCATGAAAGCTCAATTCCATTTTAAACTATGGTGTTTGTACAACACCCTGTTTGGTACAAAAATTGCTACAATTTTGGTGTGTGTATATCTGTGCAAGTTATGGATAATTGAATCCATGCATGCAAAATCCATATATATTCTCAGGATGCTGGTACTAAGTATGTCACTGTAACTCTTAGAGGGCATTCAATATGATGCGATTAATATTAATGTGGCAGGTTGTGCCCTGGTGAACAGATGTCTTATGCCTAGATGTTTGTAGGAAAACCTTCAGCAAGCAATAATTATAATATTAAAATACTTGGAATACTCTGTTTTAAAAATATTGACTGAGTACAGGATTTCTGTAGGAATAGGATCATCAACCTTGATGTTCATGTATTGCAGTTATGTTCTGCTTCAACAGAATTTAGTGCAGTAAATGTTGATCTCTTCAGTCTGTGTTTTGCCTTGGAATACTCCTCTGTAGTGGGTTTGGATGAGAGTTACACATGGCCCTCTTTGTCCACAGATCCAACTATCCACAGCTTGAAAACATTCCAGAAAGAGAATTCCAAAAAACAAACCTTGATTTTGTTATTTTATAAAAGGATACCCTTTTACTTTGCCATGGGATGTAATGGGACCTGAGCACTCATGAACTTTGGTATCCATAGGTAGGGGTCCTGAAGTCAAATCCCACCAGAAACCAGGGGTTCACTATAGTGATCCTACCTAATGATCTCATGGTCAAACAGAGATTTGGATTTGAATTTTCCCAGTTGCAGGTGTATCTACAGTGTAGAATTTAAACAGTTTGACACCACTTTTAATTCTCATGTCTCAATGGTATGGAATCCTGGGAGTTGTAGTTTCCTGAGACACCAGTCCTCTTTGATAAAGAAGGCCAAAGAACCTTATAAAACTTCAGCTCCCATAATTCCATAGCATTGAGCCATAGCAGTTCAAGTGGTGCCAAACTGCAATGATGCTACACTGGAAGGTTTTGTCCAATCCAATCCCTTCCAGGCATTTTTGACTACAGTTACCAGCACTCCTGCCAATGTTATCTTGGAGTGATTGCAAGTCTAGCCCAGAGCATCTGGAAGACACATGTTTGGTGGCTAGATGGAAAATTAATGCTTATGTGACTGGTTTTTAATTGTTGTGAAATGAGACAGTAATAAACACGACATAGTATTCTCTTGATTTTCTTGTACCTTTGTATTGCAGTTTATACTAGGAATTGAGTGAGAACATAAGAAAATCAAAAATACTTTGAGATATACTGACAAACAAATCAGTTTGGAGATAGTTATAATGTCAACAAAGACTGTTGTAGAGTTCCAAAGGGCAGTGTAGTGTTGGAAGTGTATCACTGTTGAAAAGGAAGTTTCAGGGAGGACAAACTCCGATTTTTATAGTCCACTTACATCTTCCACATACATTCGTCCAGTTCAATCAGTCATCACATATTCACCACTTCTTTTATACAGCAAACCTGAAGATAAAATGCAGGCAGTTCTCCGAGTTTTAGACTCAGTGTTTGTAGACGTATCCATTCAATAAATGCAATTGTAGGGCTCTTCTGTTGCTTGTTAACAAATGTAAGACAATCTAGCTTTGAAAAGTGCTTTGGAGACATGCTGAGACATGGTAAGCAATACAGCTCACCAGGAAACATTAGGCAGAAGAGCCTGAATATCAACTACAAAACTTAGATTTCCACATCATCTGCAGTTTTGTTGCACACATTTCTGTATTCCCAAACCACAAAAGAGAGACAAGAAGCTATACAGAGATTTAATGCTGCTAAAATATAGTATATTACCATATCCTAAGAGCTTTGTCCTACCATGACTTTCCCTTAGTATCAGCTCTGTTTAAATTCTTAGGTGAACATGCAGCCCCAACAAAAATAACCCAAGTTTTTCAACTGTGTCAGGGTCCATGGTATCTTTTAGCACATTGTAGCATTTTATGCACTGAATTTGCAGCAAGATGTGCTTTGCCCAATGAATAGATCCATTGTTTAAAGTCTGACAAAAGCTGGAGGGTTGTAAAATCAGCTATAAAAGTCAGCTGTGAATATCACTGGTTACCAAAAACATCTTTAGAAGTCTAGCTTACTTTTATGTTCTAGAGCATATCTTTCCAAACTGTGTGTTGGGACACGTTAGTGTGTTGGCTTTAGTGTGTCAGGGGAACGTAATGAAAGACCGCTGAGTCTATGTAATAAACTATGTATTTTAAAAAATATAAATGAAAGGTTTTCATCAGTTGCTGTGTCCCCCATACTTTTTGGTATTACAGTTTATGTATGTGTCCATATCTCTTATAAGAGGTCGAGTTAACCTCTGGTTTGCAAGTAAAACTGAATTATTGTGTTGTGAAATAATATATACGGTACATAAAAATGGTGTGCCACCAATATGAGATGTTTAGAAAGCTCTGCTGTAGAGAATGAATTTAAGTTTCTTTTTAGCTTGAGACAAGGATTACAGTCAGTCAGATTTTTGAATCATTCAGATTTAGAAAAACATGAATTCAACAGGTTTTATTTTTTTAATGAAGGGATATAATTTTGGAGCCTCTAGGGCCATTTCTAGCAACAGATTTCTAGAGGCAAGCTGTGTTCAACTGTGCCAGCCTAACATGTGGAGGTGCATTGTTTTCTAGTAAAAAATAATTTGGTCATGCTGCTGCATTTCTTTGTTAATAGAGCTAGACATCTAGGAAATTCTATTTGGATGGTAACCAGCTACCTTTATCTCAGTAGCTATGTTGTTAGATGAAATAGATTATCTTGATCTGTTTCAGTCTGTGTTCAGGCCTGCTTGTGGAACAGAGACAGCTTCAGTTGTATTAGTGAACAACATCTGCAAGTAAGTAACAGGGAGACTTAGTCCTTTTTGGCTTTGCTGAAAACGTTTTTTGATATCATGGTATTTTTCTGGGCTGCCTTACTGGGGTGGGAACTGGAGTCAGTCCTAGAAATGGTTCCATTTCTTCCTAGAGGAGAGATGAACACAGAAGATGGTGCTGGGGAATTTCCATTTGACTCTATAGCTACTGCAGAATGGAAGAGTGTAGTACTTCCTCTAACTGTCTTGAAGCAGCTGTGGAGGAGAAAAGCAGAAGTTCAGAGTGGTCATTAAATAGGCAGGGATAAGAATTGAACAGGTCATACAAGGGCAATCAAGATTTTGTAAGCGCTGATTCAGTTTTTTCACATGTAAAGGGAATTTTTGTTTACTGTGTTGCAAGGAGTTCAGGAAACTCTTGGCCACTTGATGGTCGCCATAAATGCCATAAGTAGTTGAGTAATTTTCAACTGATATTGTACAATAATAGCAACAACTTTTCTAACTGGAGTTTCACTACCTTTATTTACTCACTACCTTAAAACATACATGGTAGCTGTAGCACTTAATTTCATAGTATATTTTAATAATAATAATAATAATAATAATATAATTTTTAAAAAACTTTATTTGTATTCTGCCCTATCTCCCCAAGGGAATTCAGGTTAGATTCCAGCATAACAACGGCAAACATTCAATGCCTACATAAAGCACACTAACATAAAATCCCAGAAAACCCCCACATATAAAAGTAACATTAAAGCCTAACATCAAATTAAGACCTAACATCAGTAAATTAAACCTGACATCAATAAATTAAACTACACATAATCAGACAAAATTTTATAATAACATAAATCTAAATAAAACATCCACGTTAGTGTACAACAGCCAACAAGGGTTTACAAAACAGTGTGGGTTGGTTATGTTGTCAAATGAGGTCATTGGGCTGGTGTGGACCAGGAAAGCCCAATTACAAATAGTTCTCAACCAGAGGGCCGACAACGATCTCTCAACCATCTATTCCCCCTCCTCTCCGTATGCTACTAAGCGGAAGTAGGTCTTCAGTTGTTTTTTATAGGAGAGGAGGGAGGGGGGCAGCTTTATTTCTTTTGGGAGGGAGTTCCAGATGTAGCCTTCATGGATGAGCAAGTTCTCCATGAATCAGTTCTCCACTGATTTTTCTTCAGAATATGTCAGGTGATTGGTGAAGAAGTCTTGGGTATAGGCAAAGGAAGATAAACCTAAGAATCATGATATAATTTGACCAGTCCTTCTACATATGGCTTACAGAAGAGTTTATTTGTGAATACCCATTCTAATATTCTTATAATACACACAGTTTTTTGTGGACTCTGCAGTGAATATGGCCAATTGCCATATAAAACAGCTGTTGTGCTGCTGCCAGTTTGAGAAATGTAAGCCTCATCACATCTAGAAATGGGACATGAATGAGTGTTACAGCAGCCAAAATAGAGTGTATTTTTCTATAGTTCCAGCAAAAGTCTCAGGTTCAAAACAGGAACATATCATATTTAAATTGGTCAGTAAGGAAAGATGGACATTTACGATAATATTATTGATGTTTTCCTCTTCATTAGTGATTATTTGCCTTATAAGCAGTTTGTTGTGCTTGGACATTCTTCATTATGCACAAGTAATTTCTCAAAAGCAGGTTTAGCTTTTTCTTTGTATAATGTAGAGTGGATTGTTTTATATTCAAATTTCTGCAGAAAACACTTCATATGTGACTTTGAAGTATCAGTGCCTGATTTTGCTGTTACCTATTAGCTGAGGCCATCATCAGAAGGGATCTGCTGCACTCATGTTCTGCTTATAGGCTTCCTGTAGATGTGTGATTAGCGCTTAATGCTAGACTTGAGGGGCCTTCAATCTGTTCTGAGTCTTTGGCAATGCATATCAGTTTGGGTGTTCCCTCAAAAATTGCATCTAAAACTACTTGAAGTTGCATAATTTATTTTTGTATATTCTGTAAGATTAATGTCTGTTGTTTCATTCAGCATACACTGGGCCTGCAGGGCTGCTCTTTAAATACAATTAAAAGCCAAAGTAACATTCAATTTGCACATGTACATTATTAAAAGTATGAGATATAGGGCTGTGTGGAAGGGCCCTAAGGCAGCTTGATATGGGATTGGAGGCTGAATTTTTACTTCAAGTAATTTGAGCTTATTCATGTATCCTATTTACATCTTGATATACCTGTATGATGATTTTTTTTTGTCGTGTCAGGAGAAACTTGAGAAACTGCAAGTCGCTTCTGGTGTGAGAGAATTGGCAGTCTGCAAGGATGTTGCCCAGGGGACGCCTGGGTGATTTGATGTTTTTATCATCCTTGTGGGAGGCTTCTCTCATGTTCCCGCATGAGGAGCTGGAGCTGGTAGAGGGAGCTCATCTGCCTCTCCCCGGATTAGAACCTGCAACCTGTCGGTCTTCAGTCCTGCTGGCACAGGGGTTTAACCCACTGCGCCACCGGGGCTCCCTATGATGAAATGGGAGCATTTCTGTGTTTTAAATTCACTAGAATCCCATCTTGGGAGAAGTGCATAATAGACATTCAGTGAATAAAGTATGCTGCCTCAATGTGTGGTATAATATCCTTCTCTGGAAGTTTAAAAACAGAGGTTACATGGCCATCTGTCATGAGTGCTTTGATTGTGTATTCTGGTGTGGCAGAATGTTGGATTGGGTGACCATCGTGTTTTTTCCCAACTCTTACGATTCTATGAAAATAAATAAATATAAAAGTAATATTATATTTATATTACTTTTTCAGGGAAACCGAACTTGCAGAAGCTCTAGAAGAAGGTGGCTGTGATCTTGAAACTGTTAGGAACATAATCCAAGGGAGAGCTATACCTGATCACCTTAGAGCCAAGGTCTGGAAGGTAAGGATATCACATTTTTTTGAAAGGTGATCATTTATAGCACAGTTTCATGTTTATTGAAAAAGCAGCACAAACCAAGCATAGGAACTGTCTTTCCATCTTAAAATTTACCTTTACACATTTATTTCAGTTATACTTAGAACTGCAGTTGATTAATAGCCCAACCGTATGTGAGGGTTAGTGGGACATAATTAAGTATTTCCCAAATTACTTTTCTACCTTTGAGCTCGAAATGTATATTTAAAAGGAGAAATATTATGTAGTAGGGCAAACTGCTAGGAGGATTTATTTAGGAGCAAGACAATGACAGGTGGGAAGTAGGTTAAGGGTTTCCTTACCCCAGCACTTCTTTGTTCACCATCACAAGCGCACACACAGCGTGGTTTTCCATTAATAAGAATATCAGGTCACTGTTACATGTATCGGTATGCTGATAAACTTGAGATGACTATTCATTTAATCTTGAGTGAAACCAACAGAACTGGACAGGGAAGATTAAGTAAAATGGGATTTTTCTACTTTTACAACAGTAGTGTAAAACCCTGTATTTTTCAGTTATTATTATTATTATTATTATTAAAAATTGGAAGCTTAATATTCAAGTATGCTGCTTATTTAACATGGCATATCTTTCAGTATTTATCTGTGAAATACTTTTACTTTTAACACTTCAGTTTTTGAAATAATTCAGATCTGACAGTTATATCTTGAATACAGTCAAGTGGACTAAGTTAAGTTATCCTCCCCTAACTTTGTTTTTAGATTGCCTTGAATGTTGTAGGGAAAGGAGACAGTTTGGCTTCCTGGGATGGATGCTTAGATCTGCCAGAACAGACACTAATTCACAAAGATTGTCAAGATCTAGTTGGTAAGTCTGAAGATACATGTAAAATGCTACCCTGTAAATAATTTCTTATATTTATTCTCTCTAATATTTACTTTCCTGTCCTGCTTCTAGTGAGTACAACTCTGGGCTTCCTCCAACATAAAACTCAGTTATCTAAGGGCCCTTCCACACAGCCGTATAACCCAGAATATCAAGGCAGATAATCCACAATATCTGCTTTGAACTGGATTATCTGAGTCCACACTGCCATAAAACCCAGTTCAAAGCAAATAATGTGTGATTTTGTACAGCTGTGTGGACCGGGCCTAAGTGATCTAACAGGATGTGCTGTTTTGGTAGTGGATATACCTTCTTACGAAGAAGCCTGTAGAAAACTTTGCTTCACACCCCCCAAAAATGTGCTCCTTAATTTTGTGGAGCACTCTGTAGCAATGCAAGGTGCAATGTCAAAAATACAATTGGAAGGAAAAATTAGTGGTGTAGGAGAAGGAGAGAGAAACTGGGTTGCTGTGAGTTTTCCGGGATGTATGGCCATGTTCCATGTTTTTCCGACCTCTATGGCAGGCATCCTCAGAGGTTGTGAGGTCTGTTGGAAACCAGGCAAGTGAGGCTACATATCTGTGAAATGTCCAGGGTAGGAGAAAGAACTCTTGTCTGCTTGAGGCAAGTGTGAATGTTGCATTTGGCCACCTTGATTGGCATTGAATTGCCTTGCAACTTCAAAGCCTAGTTGCTTCCTGCCTGGGGGAATCCTTTGTTGGAATGTGTTAGCTGGACCTGATTGTTTCATGTTAAGAATGCCTCTATTGTTTGAGTATTGCTCTTTGTCTACTGTCCTGATTTTAGAGTTTTTTTATTACCGGTAGCCAGATTTTGTTCATTTTCATGGTTTCCTCCTTTCTGTTGAAATTGTCCACATTATTGTGGATTTCAGTGGTTTCTCTGTGTAGTCTGACATGGTAGGTGTTAGATTGGTCCAGCATACCTGTGTTTTCAAATAATATGCTGTGTCCAGGTTGGGTCATCAGGTGCTCTGCTATGGATGACCATGAAAATGAACAAAATCTGGCTACCAGTATTTAAAAAACTCTAAAATCAGGTCAGTAAAGAAAGAACAACACTCAAAAACAGGGGAATTCCAGACAAGAAACAATCAGGACCAGCTAATCACCTCCTGACAAAAGAGTCTCCAAGGTAGGAAGGAGCCAAGCCTTGAAGCTGCAAGGCTATTCAATGCTAATCAAGGTGATCAATTGCAGCCTCAAACAGACAGGAGTTCTTTCTCCCACAGATATATAAACCCCACTTGCCTTGTTTCCAACAAACCTCACAACGTCCAAGGATGTCTGCCATAGATATGGGTGAAATATCAAGTGAGAATGCTTCTGGAACATGGTGATACAGCCTGAAAAACTCACAGCAACCCAGTGATTCTGGCCATGAAAGCCTTCAACAACACAGGAGAGAGAAAACTGGCATTTGAACCTGGTCTGCTGCATTACGTTGGCATAGCGCTATGATAACTGGGCTATGTAATCCCTTCGATTTCCCATTCTCTTACAGGTAATCTTGGGGAACAACTAAACTATAGAATTCATGTGTCATTGAAGGCTTTCATGGCCGCAATCACTGGGATTAATACAGTTTGACAATACTTTAACCGCCATGGCTCAATATTGTGGAAACATAGGAGTGGCAGCTTTACAGCATCTTTATTTATTTATTTATTTACTGCATTTGTTGACCGCCGTTCTCAGCCCTAGGGCTACTCACGGCGGTGTACAACATATAAAAACAGTTTACAATAAGGGAATATCACATTAGCATTCTCTGCCAAATAATGCTTTTACCTCACCAAACTACAACTTCCATGATTCCATCACATTGAGCCATGGAGATTTAGAGTGTCTACAGTTCTACCGTGAGTCTAATAGGTAACATCTGTAGAAGTAATCAATGCCATATTTCTCTCACTCTCATAATATTGGTCTTCTTTCAGATCAGCTATCCCTGCCAGAGGAGCAGAAATCAGTATTACTTTTGGATATTGAATCTGTGATTACTTTTTACTGTAAATCTCGCAATGTTAAATACAGTTCTAGCCTTAGTTGGACATATCTACTCAAGCCATTGGTGCACCTTCAGCTTCCACGAAGTGACTTGTACAACTGCTTCTATGCGATCATGAATAAGTACATTCCAAGGTAAAGACCTTTTTTTTCATGGGTATTGCAATTGGTATAAAGTTGTGCCTGTCCCTTACCTTCACCCTCCATATTTTCAAGAAAAGCGTCTTCTCTGATTGCTTTTAAAGAAAGGCACATTCTGTTGTATCTGTGGATCTCTTCTTATGATAATGTGACACAGAACTGCAGTATGTCCCTGCTCATTTTTTTAATGAGAAATGTATATTACTGCAATTTCAATGCCCTGCACACTTGCTTTTTCAGCTGCTTACAATTTTTGCCATTGTGCCTTTCTCATGAATCCTCTCACTGCTCTTTTAAAGGGACTGTTACCAGAAAGGGAGGCCATTTCATCTTTTTCGGCTTCTCCTCCAGTACCATGAGCCTGAACTCTGCTCCTTTCTGGACACCAAAAAGATGACGCCAGATTCATATGCACTCAACTGGGTAATAAAGTGAAATTAGGGAAACATAATGAAAAATAAACCCCTATAGTAATTTTAAAAGTATCAACTACAAAGCTTAACAAAAAATATGTGTGTAATAGTTAAGGGGCATTTTGTTGTTGTGTGTCTTCAAGACATTTCCAAATTACGGTGACCCTAAGGCAGTGGTTCTCAACTTGTGTGTCTCCAGATGTTTTAGCCTTCAACTCCCAGAAATCCTAACAGCTGGTAAACTGGCTGGGATTTCTGGGAGTTGTAGGCCAAAACACCTGGGGACCCACAGGTTGAGAACCACTGCCCTAAGGGAACCCTATCACAGGATTTTCTTGACAAGTATAGTGACTACTAAAATTAATCCTATGCTCAAAAAATAGCCTATGAGAGATTTGTGGCTTTGCTATAAGGTTACCAGGTTGACTATAATTGTTCTCATAAAATTAGTTTTGATGAACTCCTCTTGATGTAGATTTGTTAGCCTGCTTATGGAAATGTTGGCTAGAAGCAAAGACAATTATTGATAATATAGACCAGGGGTATCAAACTCATTTTCATCTAGGACCACATCAGTCTTATAGTTGCCTTCAAAGGGCCATTGAATCCATGAATAAAGAATCTGTGGATACAGAGGGCCAACTATATATTTTCCATAGAGGTCAGTACTCTTTAGCTTTTACCCAATTTGGGTCCCCAGATGTTATTGAATGACAAGTCCCATCACTTTTGATTATCTGGCATGCTGACTGATGGTAATGGGAATTGCAAGCCAACAGCACTTGTGGCTCTGAGGTTGGGGAAAGTTTAAAGGACATTTTAAAGTCTAACATCACATCCACAAGCCTTGTATCTAAATTCTGACCCCACTATCCTGACTGAATAGAAAAAACTGCAGCCTTCTAGATGCTACTGTATCATCAACTCTAGTCTGTGTCTCATGATGAAGAATACAGAAGTTGGGTTGCTATGAGTTTTCCGGGCTGTATAGCCATGTCCCAGAAGCATTCTCTCTTGACGTTTTGCCCACATCTATGGCAGACATCCTCATAGATTGTGAGGTCTGTTGGACACTAGGCAAGTGAAGTTTATATATCAGTGGAATATCCAGGGTGGAAGAAAGAACTCTTGTCTGCTCAAGGCAAGTGTGAATGCTGCAATTGGCCACCTTGATTAGCATTAAATTGCCTTGCAGCTTCAAAGCCTGGCTGGTTGCTGCCTGGGGGAATCCTTTGTTAGGAGGAGTTAGCTAGCTCTGATTGTTTCATGTCAAGATTTCTCCTGTTTTTTTAGTGTTGTTCTTTATTTACTGTCCTGATTTTAGAGTTGTTTTTTTTTAAAAAAATACTGGTAGCCAGATTTTATTCATTTTCATGGTTTCCTCTTTCCTGTTGAAATTGTCCACATTCTTGTGGATTTCAATGTCTTCTCTGTATAGTCTGACATGGTAGTCATTAGAGAGGTCCATCATTTCTGTATTCTCAAATAATAAGTTGTGTCCAGATTGGTTCATCAAGTGCTCTGCTATGGCTGACTTCTCTGGTTTGCTTAATTTTCTTTTAATTTCTTCAACTTTCCAGCTTGGATGCCTGTTTTCGAGCCACTGTTCCAATGAAGTCACTCAGGCAATTTGGGATGGATATTTACAGCTGGCAGATCCATTTTTCATTTACTTTCTAATGCTGATCATGCTTGTTAATGCAAAGTAAGTATATCATCCGTGTTTGGTAAGAACTTGGTTGACCATATATGTATTTTTTCTGTACCTTACTCTGCATCTCTTTCTTTGACTCTTTCCAGAGAATTTGTCTTAGGACCAGAGTCAGAGAGCAAAGAAGATATCGTGAGTAAGTCCTAACGTTGTAATGCTTCTGCTATTTTGTAAAATGCTCCTTAGGCACTGTTAACCAACATTTGCTAGGCATGCTGAAGAGTGGAACTGATCCCTTTCCATTTCTGTTTGTGTACATACCAGCAGAAGTGAGAGAATCAGAAACATCCAAATAATTCCTAAACTAACTAGAGTTTCCCATTATGTATACCTGTTAGGATTACACTGGCCAACACAGATTTTGGTGCCTCAAATGTTACATTTCTGATTACAAAAATGGCACGGCTTTCCCCCTATCAGCTCTAGTTTTTGAGTCAGTCTTCATCTGCTCTCACTTAGAAAATCATGATAACCATATCTAAGAAACTAGAGTTGATGCAGTCTATCCAGTGCAATTTTCTGAATCAGTGCCCCAAATAACCCCAGTAACAGGCCTACAAAGCAAGATATTAAATAATTTGTTTTGGTTGAACTATGTTATCATTGGCCTTATTTATTTTTATAGATCTTATTTCTGTTCTGCTTTTTCCCAGAACTGAGACTCGGTGTACAATATTATTAAAAATATACAGAACGCAACATTTTGGGCTCCTTGGAAAAGGAATTCAAAAGCTCAAGAGGATCCTATTTGTGTCTCACCAGCCATGCCTGTGAAGGTGGTGAGATATAGAGAAGGATCTCAGGGCCCAAACAGGTGCATATTGAGGAAACGCACTTTAAAATTACTTGAAACACTTTTAAAAGAATGCACAAGAATCATAATTCATAATCTGATTCTGACTTTTTTTTTTAACTAGCTGATGTAACAGGGAGCAGATACTTCACATCTCCTCCTTAGTGTCTGTGAGAAGAATCCAGGGACTCATCCAAAGCTCATGCATATAGCAACAACACAGGAGTGGAAATTATGTGGCCCATGAATGTATGTGGCTTGTGGGTCCCTGGATCCTCCAAATCAGCCAGGAAGAATGATTTTGTGCGTAAACACTACTTTGTTGGCTCTACCCCAAAAACTAAAGCAATCCTTTCTGGAAGTAACTAGAACATCACTTTTGACCATGAAGAAAGGCAGCCACCTAGTGCAACCAGATAGGGTGGGGAGATATTGAAAATGGCTCTCAAGCTTATGGTGTTTGCCTGTCAGTGCACTTATTCATTGTTTCGTGAAAAAGCAAAAAAAGAATGGATCATTTTGATCCTTACTTATCCAATGTTTAATTCTGGTTCTAAAATTTGTGATGGCTGGTTTTATAATTACATTTTCTGTCTTATTACTACTCATATTCCTTGAGTTATTACACTTTCTCTCATTCCCTTTTTCAATTGGACCAGTCATGCAGTAAAGATAAGGGCTTAATAAGAATTCACAGATGAATGAAATAAATGCTAGGGGACTACAGTGAATATGCTGGCTGCACAATACCATTGCAAGCCATTCATTACATAGGGATGAATCAACAGATAGTCCTTCTGACCATTCTGTTGCAGGCTTTGCTTGTCCAGCATATTTTTCTCCACTCACTTTTTCCTGTCTCTATTAACAGACATTGTACCCAAAAAGGGGAAAAAAGTGATTTGCTTATCCAACAGATTGAAATCTGAACTGAGTATTCCAAACACAGAGTTACTAATCAAGTTGCTATGGTGATTGCAATGCAAATCCCTATTGTCCATTCCAGTATTGGCTTGGGGAAAAGACTCATATTTGTTGATCTGGCTGTAATGTGCCTCTGTATTAATATTACATTGCATAGAGTCTTTCCTTCCTTCCTCATTCCCAGCCTTCTCCCTAAAATATTCTGTTTGTGGTGAATCCTTCCACCCAAATAATGGAACATATATTGTTTGCTCATAGGATATGAGGTATTGCTAAGTTGCATATGTAGAATATACATTTTCCATATTAGTGAACATCCTTTGTAATGGGTTGCTGTGAGTTATCCGGGTTGTATGGCCATGTTCTAGAAGAATTCTGGAACATCTATGGCAGGCATCCTCGGAATTGTGAAGTCTGTTGGAAACTAAGCAAATGAGGTTTATATATCTGTGGAATGTCTAACAACCACCATGTCAGACTACACAGAGAAGCCATTGAAATCCACAAGCATGTGGACAATTTCAACAGAAAGGAGGAAACCAGGGAAATGAACAAAATCTGGCTACCAGTATTTTTTTAAAAAAACTCTAAAACCAGGACAGTAAATAAAGAGCAACACTTAAAAAACAGGGAACACCTGACAGGAAACAATCAGGGCCAGCTAACACCTCCCAACAAAGGATCCTCTGGCAGCAACTAGCCAGGCTTGGAAGCTGCAAGTCCATTCAGTGCTAATCAAGGTGGCCATTTGCAACATTCAAGCAGACAGGCATTCTTTCTCCCATCCTGGATATATCATGGATATATAAACCTCACTTGCCTAGTTTCTAACAGACTTCACAATCTCTGAGGATGCCTGCCATAGATGTGGGTAAAACATCAGGAGAGAATGCATCCGGAACATGGCCATACAGCCCAGAAAACTCACAGCATCCCAGTGATTCTGACCATGAAAGCCTTTGATAACACATCCTTTGTAATGTTTTATTTAAGCATCAAACCTAACTAATTTATGTTTCAGAATTCCTAGAAAAATCCCCCTCCAGTTTGGAAGTGGAAGATATAGAAGACCTTTTCTCTTTGGCCCATTATTACTGTAGCAAAACTCCAGCTTCTTTCAGAAAGGTAATAATCAGCGATTTCAGTGTATTCTATACTTCCTTGTCACATCAAACTCAAGGGTTCCAAGAGCTGACTTTATACTATTTAAAAGCTGCAAGTGTGAGATAATTAAATAGTTTGGTTGTGTTTCCTTCTACAAAATTATCTGCAGCAAATATAAACATCTGCCTATTACATCATTGTTTCTTTTATATCATTGCCTTTCCTTATCCCCCTTTTATGAACATGATGTAGATATTTCCTTTTTTTAAATCAATTCTTCACTGTGCTGTGGAGTTTATACAATTAAGAAGACATTGAACAAATGGTAGCATGGACATTCTGGAATCACTTGAGACAAATTCAAATACACTATTTTGATTGGTCTAATTTGGTTTCTGTGGCAGAGAAGGCTAATGAATACAACCCTGCTAATGTAGTGAGCTGCAGAGAGAATTTAAGTGGGAAAGCAGTGGAAACCACCAAGGTGTTTTGCAATTCCAAAGCAGTTTGTGATTGAAAACATGCCCCTGCAGAGAACTATTTGCACACCAAAGCAGTCTATATAAGATCTATATAAGGTGAGCTGAGTACAGCTGGAAACATTCTGATTAGTCAGAAATGGCCCTCAATGTCTCCTGATGTCTGTTTATTACAGATCTAACTGAGGAGTCTTCTCTTAACCATCCTCCACTTCCTCCAGCTTAAGTTTGGAACAGTTCCTTCTGATACAATTTATGCATTTGACTAACATGCCTGAGTCCTTTTGTGCCATTATTCTTGTCCCCATTCTCAGGAGGACAAGAGAACACACTTCTTGTCTTGTTATTCCACGAAACACATACCAATTATGCAACTGCACTTTAAGCACCAGAAAATGAAATAATATTTTTAAATAAGTAAAAGATGAAAGAAAACAATCATTCCTTTCCCTGTAGTATTATTATTATTATTACCATTATTACTATTATATCTGTTTATACCCCACTTTATCTCTCCTACAAGAGACTCAAAGTGATATGGATTGAATGCTACAAATACTTAGGCTGTGGCAAAGCAATCCAGGCAGTTCCTGTTGACTGAAAGACCAAATACACATGTATTTGTTTTCCAACACTAAGATGTGTGATGGTGTAAATGTCACATGCTTTCTTGAGAGCAGGAACTGAGTACTTGTCAGGTCCCTGGGTTTCTTTTTAGTCAGCATAGAGGAAGAATCCCCAGAAAGGGTTGCACTCTCATTGCTACATATGCACACGTAAGTCTCCTTTGAACAGGCTGCAGGGACCAGTTTTTTAGCGTTTTGTGCTCCATCCAAAATCTCCCACAGCTGCCAAGCCTGGAGAGAGGCTACTGCTGCTTACCAATAGATAGGCAAGAGAGGGTTGCAGTTGTGACTCCCAGGAAAAAATGAGGATGCTCTCCAATTTGTGTGCATCTTTGTTTCATCCTTCCTCAGTCTTTCACTCACCTTCTTCGTCGTTTGAATTGCTTCCTCTTTCCTTCCCTCCACATTGTTGTGTATCAGCAGCAGGAGCCTCCCAGAAATCGCCAATGGTTCAGGCCATGGAACTGCAAGGGCAGAGCATTATGCTTTGCCCATTTGATGTAAGATCTTGGCCAAAGAGCGTTGCATTGATCACAGCCCAGAAAGGAGAGCTTTCCTCTCCATTTGGAGTTTGCCCTTTGCATCATTTTTTCCCTTGTCTCTCTGTTTGATTCCTCATTCTCATCATTCTGTCGCCCTACTTCTCCTGAAATCTCTCACTGGAATATTTGCATTGTAATTGGTGCCTGTCAGAACCCAAAATATATTCCTACCAGAAGCTAAGAATACTTTTTATCAGAGTCACAGAGATGTTGCAATTGCCACAAAAACCTGATGGCAGCAAATTAAACAACCCCTTTGTAGTCTCTGATAGGCAGGGCCTCTTCCACTTTGGTCCCTTGGAAAGTTGCTCACCCTAGCAATAGGGATTTCAAGCAGTTGAAGATGTATCCCTACCTTACCTTTTGGGTCCCCTTCCAGGTGCATTACATTACTGCCTCATCCAGTATTTTAATTTTTAATCCCATTGGCCCTGCCCACAGTGGTTGTTAACGTCGTGATTTTATACTGTTTGTGTTATTTATAATTGGTTTTGTATGTATTTTATTTTTACTTTTATTGCTGTATTTTGTTTATTTATGTATTATATTGCTGGACTTGGCCTCATATAAGCCGCTCCGAGTCCCTGTGGGGAGATGGTGGCGGGGTATAAATAAAGTTGTTGTTGTTGTTGTTGTTACAGCTGAAGATTAACCAGCTGTGCTATAGCCTGGCCCAAGTTATGTTTCATACATTCTCCAAATACCGAGAGCAAAATAGAATGAAGCATTACATTGTTTGCAGATAGGTAAATACCTCTGAAAAAATTGCTCTAATCAGGTTTAGGAAAAGAACAGTTACATTTTAGTCACTTGATGATATTATTTTTAATCAGCATGGGCCCAACTTATTTTATATGTATTTTAAAATGTTGACTAACAAAAGTATATAGCATATTTAGTGATAGATCCCTTTAATTTTATTAATATCATCATATAGACATACTGTAATTAATAAAACATATTGTTTTCCTGTTCTTTTCCAAAATAAACCATTAAGGAAACAAACTTGGAATCATTTCCTAAAGAAAATAATGGTAACAATTGTTGCTTACAAGTGTAAATAAATCTAATTGAGATGTTAGCATGTTAGTTTTGATTTCCTGTGCTACCATGAGCCCTTTAAAAAAAAACCAGTGGATTTCCTGAATCTGGAATAGAATGCATATTTTTTCCACAGTTACTAGCAAAACCCTCCACTAGTGTGTTTTTTGTTCCCTTTCCTCCCCCAAAATTGAAAGGAGTTTTGTTTCACTATTCAGCCTGAAGGAATTCCAGAACAGCTGACATAAGGTAAACCTTCAGGCTTATGATTTAGAAAACGCAGTGTAAATAGAAAATGGATAAGGCAGTAAGAAGAAAACGTTGCCCATACTCATAAATTTCATGTAAATAGCTGATCTCTGCAGAACCAGTGGACAGACATTGCAGCCTGATGGAATGTTTACTGCGAGACAACAGCATGATGTGTGTTGCAATTTTGGGAATCCCATCCCACAAAATCTGAACCAGAAACAGATTATTGCTGATGATAGTCATAATATATTATTTCCAGGTGCAGCTTGAGTTGGCAGGAGTATCATCTCTGCTAGCAGGAACTGTCGAAGGGCACAGCCCATGAGTTACTTTTCCAAGATATATCGTGCACAGCAGTCATGCCATTTGTTGGTTTTGAATTACAGGAGTGCTTTTGGCACACTAAATAGGAAAAGGAACTTACGTAGTAAGAGCAGTAAGTGACAGTAGTGAAGTTACAGTTATGAGATGCATTTCCTTTTCACTTTTTATTGTAGGCTTTCATATGAGGGTTCCAACTAAAATTAATTAAATCTTGGAATTTGTTTGGTGTTTTTATACCATGCAGAGTTTTGGTGTTGAACATAAATGCTGTTTTCTCTTGCCACTGCAGGATAATCATAGTCTATTTGGCAGCAGTTTGTTGGGTCTCAAAGATGATGATTCAGATTTGAGCCAAGCGCTGTGTCTAGCCGTTTCTGTATCAGAGATTCTTCAAGCAAATCAACAGCAAGAGGTCAGTAAGTTTGAAACATTTCTCCACAGATGAGGAAAAAATTAAAGCTTAGGTATCTTCAAGTCAATTTCCTTTGACTTTCAATTTTTCTGTACCCCCTTTTGTGCTCCTTCTTTAAGAAGCCTGTCTCTGTATTTTGTTTACATTTCTATTACTGCTTTTTTCCAAGGAAATAAAAGACTGCACATGTGATTCTGCCCAACCCTTTTATATTCTCACAATAAATCTGTGAAGTAGTTGAGCTAAGAGTAAGTGATTGAACTAAGCTCAGCTAAGATGCTTCAGGATGAGCAGGACCTTGGAAGTAGAATATTTCCTGCCCTTTGACACTAATCTAATGCTCTTAACCACATTTAATCTCTGTACAGTTAATGAAGAAGATAAATTGTGAAGGCACATGAAGAAATGGCTGGAATATATATATATATATATATATAATGGCACATGGAATGCCTTTATAAATCCATTTGTGGTGATCATTAAAACTTAGATAAGGCCAAGATCTTTGTTTTTCTATCTATTCAGCCACTTTATAATGTAACAGCTATATAGAAGAATGATGTCTATCAGCAAACTTATGTTCATCTGCACACGAGTAACTAAGGTTATTACTTTAGTGGGATTTGATTCCTGAGTAGATGTGTGTGGGACTTTAACTGTCAAAATTTATTCCTCCTGTTTTAATTTTTCATGACTTTGCCTACATAGAAGTCCAAACGCAGTCTATAAAATAAATGTGAGAAGGAGAGGACCCCTGGTGGTGCAGCAGGTTAAACCACTGAGATGCTGCACTTGCTGACCGAAAGGTTGGCAGTTCAAACCCGGGGAGTGGGGTGAGCTCCCACTGTTAGCGCCAACTTCTGCCAACAAAAACATGCAAATGTGAGTTGATCAGTAGGTACTGCTTCTGCAGGAAAGTAACGACGCTCCATTCAGTCATACTGGCCACATGACCTAGAAGGTGTCTACGGACAACGTCGGCTCTTCGACATAGAAATGGAGATGAGCACCACCTCCTTGAGAGGAACATGACTAGACTTAATGTCAAGGGGAAGCCTTTACTTTTACTAAGAATCCTTATGGGTTATAACAACAAAATGACAATGGTTAATAACACTGTTTTGAATAATGTGTGCCTATTCAGTGGGAAACAAAAGTATTAGAATAATACTGCATATTTTTCCACTGATAAATTAAAATTGTCATGCTTGTAAAAAAACTGAAAATCTGATACAAAAATAAGTGTGAAACTATCTATAGTAGATAATGTGTCTCAAGTGCATGCATAAACTTATAAAGTTGTAGACTTTCTAAACATGAAGATACATTAATTGTATTGAAACTTCCATGCTTGATGAAAATATCTGTCCTAACCTGTGGGACCCCCTGTCCAAAATCTCAAGAACCGTGCATGCTCATCCATATCAAATGAAGCATGGCAACCCATACCCATATGTAGCCATAGCAAACTCTTTTTTGAAATTAAAGGTGCTTAAGAAAAATCTGTGAAATATGTAAGAACTTGATGTTTAAATGAAAATGTTTTTGAGGCATGCTCTTGGCTATTTCAAACTTTGGATCCTTTCACTCACTTCAGATTGAATGGGTATAACAAGCTTCTAATAGAAAAGTACATATTAGAAAAGTGACATGATTCAACTATTCTTATTCCAGGAAGGAGTGAGGTTCTTTGTGGTGGATTGTCGTCCTGCAGAACAGTATAATGCCGGCCATTTATCAACAGCATTTCATTTAGACTCAGACTTGGTAAGCGTATTTTCTGACTGCTTTTGAATTTCCCTAAATTGGTCCAAGGGAAAGGAATCCAAAACATGAATTCATCCCAGTTAGAATATTAATTAATTAATTAATTTACTTTATTTGTATACCGCAGTTTCTCAGCCCGTAGGCGACTCAACGCGGTTAACAACAAGAGCAAGAATTCAATACTAACAACATACACTATTTAAAAACAATTAACACCGTAATATACTGAGTAATTACACATCAGTAGGCAACACATTAACATCTCGTAACTAGAATCGTGATCCAACTCGTCATCCGTAATTCCGTTTTCCTATATTCCTTATTCATAGCACTGTTTATCCAAACGCCTGTTCAAACAGCCAGGTCTTCAGTCTTCTTCGAAACACCATTAACGAGGGGGCTGATCTAATGTCCATGGGAAGGGCATTCCACAGCCGGGGGGCCACTACTGAGAAGGCCCTGTCCCTCGTCCCCACCAAGCGTGCCTGTGATGCAGGGATCGAGAGCAGGGCCTCCCCAGAAGATCTTAAAGTCCTGGTGGGTTCATAGGCGGAGATATGTTCGGATAGGTAACTTGGGCCAGAACCGTTTAGGGCTTTATAGGCCAACGCCAGCACTTTGAATTGTGCCCGGTAGCAAATTGGTAGCCAGTGGAGCTGGCGCAGCAGAGGAGTTGTATGCTCCCTGTACTCCGCTCCTGTTAGTATCATGGCTGCCGAAGGTTGAACCAATTGAAGCTTCCGAGCAGTCTTCAAAGGCAACCCCACGTACAGAGCGTTGCAGTAGTCTAAACGGGATGTAACCAGAGTGTGGACGACCGTGGCCAAGTCAGACTTCCCAAGGTACGGGCGCAGCTGGCGCAGAATAGATCCATTCAATCAGTTCCTGAATTCAGGCCTTATTACTTCGGAGGATCTGTGGTTGTTGAAATTTGTAATTTAAGCCCCTTGGTTTTCAAAATAAAGATATAGAGGTATTTGGTTTTATGATTTTTGCTTTATAGAATAGACTTCATACTGTTGATATCAGCTTATTTCGAATGAGTTGTTTGGCTTTTTGCAAACGATGTCTGTAAGACAGGTCTCTACAATAAGCCCATTTGAAAGAAAGATGTAATGAAGTAGATGGAAAACCCTTTAAAGCTGTGTTGTCGAAGGTTTTCATGGTCAGAATCACTGGGTTGCTGTGAGTTTTCTGGGCTGTATGGCCATGTTCCAGAAGCATTCTCTCCTGAAGTTTCATGCACTTATGGCAGGCATCCCCAGAGTTGTGAGGTCTGTTGGAAACTAGGCAAGTGAGATTTGTATATCTGTGGAATGTCCCAAAGTGGGAGAAAGAACTCTTGTCAGCTTGAGGCAAGTGTGAATGCTGCAATTGATCACCTTGATTAGCATTGAATGGCCTTACAGCTTCAAAGATTGGCTGATTCCTGCCTGGGGGAATCCTATGTTGGGAAGTGCTAGCTGGCCCTGATGATTTCATATTAGGACTTCCTCTGTTTTTTGCAATGTTCCTCTTTATTTAGTATCCTGATTTTAGAGTTTTTTAATACTGGTAGCCAGATTTTGTTAATTTTCATGATTCCTGACTGTAAGAGCTGTTCAGCAGGGGAATTCTCTGCCCTGAAGTGTGTTAGAAGCTCCTTCTTTGGAAGTTTTTAAACAGAGGCTGGATGGCCATCTGTCGGAGGTGCATTGAATGCGATTTTCCTTCTTCTTGGCAGAGGGTTGGACTGGATGGCCCACAAAGTCTCTTCCAACTCTATGAGTCTATGATTCTAATGCAGCTTTGGGTTGCTGTGAGTCTTCTGGGCTCTATGGGCATGTTCCAGAAACATTATCTCCTGATGTTTCACCCACTTCTATGGCAGCCATCCTCAGAGGTTGAGGGGTCTGTTGCAAACTAGACCAGTGAGGTTTATATATCTGTGGAATGTCCAGGGAGAGAGAAAGAACTCTTGTCTGCTTGAGGCAAGTGGGAATGTTGCAATTGGCCGCCTTGATTAGCATTGAATTGGCTTGCAGCTTCAAAACCTGGCTGGTTGCTGCCAGGGGATCCTTTGTTGGGAGGTGTTAGTTGGCCCTTATAGTCTACATAGGGACCACTAAACACAGTATTGCCCGAACACAAATCAAGGAACATGAAAGGCACTGCAGACTAATTAAGTCTGAGAAGTCAGCCATAGCAGAGCACTTTATGAACCAACCTGGACATAGCATATTATTTCAGAACACAGAAATGCTGGACCACTCTAGCAACCACCATGTCAGACTACACAGAGAAACCATTGAAATCCACAAGCATGTGGACAATTTCAACAGAAAGGAGGAAACCATAAAAATGAACAAAATTTGGCTGCTAGTATTTTAAAACTCTAAAATGAGGACAGTAAATAAAGAGCAGCACTCAAAAAGCAGGGGAATTCTATACAAGAATCAATCAGGATCAGCGAATCGCCTCCCAAAAAAGGATCCCCTCCCTCAGGCACCAGAATGCTTCTGGAACATGGTCATACAGCCCGGAAAACTCACAGCAACCCTCTTTAAAGCTGTTTGCAAAACAGACAATATTTTATCCCTTATTTATAACAATATCAAAATGTTTTCAAGTAATTAGTTAATTTTTTCTCCATTAGCAGCTGAGTAGATGTGGAAAAAAGAATAAAGTTCTTTGAATTGTTTCTCAGATGCTCCAGAACCCATCAGAATTTGCCCAGTCTGTAAAGTCCTTGTTAGAAGCACAAAAACAGTCCCTTGAGTCTGGCTCAATAGCAAGTGGAGAGCACCTTTGTTTCATGGGGAGTGGACGAGAAGAGGAGGACATGTACATGAACATGGTACTGGCACACTTCTTACAGGTATGTTTCAAATATCGGCATGCCTTGTATTTAATGCACATTAATGTATTTCTTGTTTTGTCTAGCACTACTGTCAAAAGGTTAGCATTCTTTTAGTTAGTATTCATGGAGCGAGACAAATACAACAACTTTCAGGTTTATTTCTGTAGATATTGCCCATCCTTTTGTACTGTTGCAACTTAGCCCCTTTGATGTGCATGTGGCTTAATCGTTCGTATACTAAAGTTGCTGTATTCTTTGTTTCTGCAAAATTGAAAAAAAGACATTTTCTCTATTTGCAATTTCTGCAACTTTAGTTATATAATTTTAATGTATTTATTGGATTTATATACCACATTTCTTAAAGTGAGATCTCTAAATATTGTGCATGGTTTGGCAACTATACAATTTGAAACATAGATGCTCTTTGCCTGATACACAATTATGTGGGAGCATAAGACTAATTTAGCTGTCTTTTTAACACTGGAAATTTAAAAGTATTATATTTGCCTTGTAAAAAAATTAAAAATATTATCACTATTTCTCCTTACAGAAAAATAAAGAATATGTAAGCATTGCTAAAGGAGGATTTATGGGTAAGATTTCATTTAATCCCATGTTTTGTCCTTTTAAATGTGATTTATAGACATTAATTACATATTGAAATTGCTTGAAAATTCTAATATACCGTTTTTCCTTTTCTTGTGCATTGCTTGCATACAGATTGCTTCATTGTGTGAAGTTTTTTCCCCAGTGTTTTTGTAATGGTTACAATATGTCATAGATGTTAAAACAAGAGAAGTTGTAAAGACTACTTAGCTATTTCTATATTTTAAATGGTTTAGAAGACATTTCCAAGGTGACATGCCCTTAACTTTTTTAAAGATTACAACTGAACATGGGCCCAACATCTCTTATCCTATAGTCCCACACTTTTGGATTGATGAAACTCGTACAGAATGCCAGGAGTTCACCAGCTTGAGGAAACATGATATATACAATATATTGTTAGTCTTTGGTTTGTTTATACTCTTAGCGCATCAATCAACTTCAATTAAATAAGTTTGGGTACTGTTACCGCAATGAAACACACAGTATTGCTGTATTAATACAATATGTTTTATATGTAAACAACAAGGGGGGGGTCCTTCTATCATATGTGGTGGACATGTAAACATGCCAAGAAATATTGGATTCAAATACACACAGTGATTCAGAATTTTTTAGGGAGAGGCATCCAGCTAAAACTGGAGACTTTTCTACTTAGTCTGACTGATAAAAATAACCAGGATAGACTATGGCAATATATGACCACAGCAGCCAGAGTACTATATGTGCAAAAATGGGAGAGTACAACAATACCAACAATGGAGGAATGAATAATAAAGATGATGGACTTGGCCAAAATTGACAAATTAACATGTCTACTAAAAGAAGGAATATTGAAAACTTTTTTAAAACACCGGAAACCTTTTTGCATGAAGAAGAGAAAGGCTTGCCAATTATAAGTTTTGAAGATTAAATTTAAGTTTTTGTTGATGTTGTAATTTGAGAAAAGAGTTAGTAAAGAGAGATCTAGAAGCATATGAAGTGTATGATATTAGTTTTCTTTGTGACTAAATTGGGATAGACCAGTCACCTATCTTCATCCTTTTTTCAATGAGAAGGATGTATAAATAGATGGGGTGCAGTGCTACATAGAAATAAAGTGTGTATAAATATGAGCACCAATGGAAACTAAGTGTAAGCAATATATTGTGAAGCTGAAACAATAAAAATATTGTTAAAAATACTGTAAGTTTTAAATTATATTTTTCTCAGCACTACAACAGCACTTAGCAGACATTAATGTGGAAGGTCCAGAAAATGGATATGGCCACTGGATTGCTAGTACTTCGGGCTCAAAAAGTAGCATTAGCTCCTTAGTTGATGTAAGTATACATCTGAATTCTAATTGTTCAATGGACTATTTGGGATCTAATTGCTAATTCAGAGGCAAGGCAGTTTTGCTTGCAAAAGTCATCCCCAGGGAAGTTCCCCTATCGTGGTCACTGTGCATCGCGCATATGGTTTATTCCTGCGCTTGCGCAGGCAGCCTCGGAAAACTGTCAAGGACTAATCTTGTGACAGTTGAAGTGGCCCCATCCACTCTCCCCGTCAGTATATATAGCCCATGGGAGGGGCTACTGCCCAGTTCTTCTCTTCCACCACTTGCAGCACCAAGGAAATTAGAGACTCCATTGGACTGCCCTCAAAATTTCTGACATGGTTTCCTAGACTTGGATTTTAGATTAAGACTCTCTAAAATGGTTTGCCTGAACTCTAATATTGAATTTTGGACTTGCTTTATTATGTCTACCACTACTTCCTTCAAGAAGTATGTGTTGTGCCCTAATAAATACCCAGATAATAACACACATCCCAGCTGCCTCCTATGCCTGGGCGAAGGACATCTCTCCCAAGCATGTGCCATTTGTAGGGCTTTCACACCCCAAACAAGGAAAAATAGAGAATTAAGACTGAAGGCCGCCCTATACGAACAGGCCCTCCTTCCCCCGGCACCGACAAAGCGCATGAACGCCAAACCTGGAGAGACTGTTAAATTACCTCAGGCAAAGATAAATGACTTACCTGGCACGCCCCCAATGGTTGTACAACAGTCCATTTACCAGGAGAACAGAAGATACTGGCAGACCATTTACCAGGAGACCAGAACATACTGGCAGATGTTCTGAGCAGGACCCCTCTAACCCACCACGAGTGGACTCTAAACAGGGAGGTATCATGTCTTCTGTTCCAGGCATGGGGTTGGCTGGAGATAAACCTCTTTGTGTCTCCGGAGAACAAACAGTGCCCGCTGGTCTGTGTCTGTCTGGGCTGAAACATACTACCCAACTGCCTAGGCAATGCATTTCTGATCATTGGGGAAACCACAGGATCTACCCGTTCCCTCCCTTTCCTCTCCTATTGCGGGTGGTGTCAAATATCTCCCAAGACAAAGCTCAGGGCATCCTGATCACTCCGTGGTGGCCACGTCAACCATGGTTCTCCCTGGTTCTTCAGATGTCCAGAAGAATATTCAAACCACTGCCGAAAAGGGGAGATCTCCTCCTATCACAGACTGGTCGGGTCCTTTACTGAGATGTCCACACCTTGAAGCTAACCGCATGGTGGATCTTCCCCAGCCATTACATTTGTGTGCTTCTCTCTCCAAACATGTAAGAGCAATTTTGGAGGCTGCCTAGAGGGCCTCTACTAGATGGTCATATATTTACAAATGGTCCTGGTTTACCAAGATTGCCCTAGGGAAAGGTGTAGATACCCTTGTGGCTCCTACGTCCTTAATACTAGACTTTCTGTTCTTCCTTGCTGATTCAAGCTTATCATTGCCCTCCTTAAAGTGTTATCTGGCAGCTTTTTCCTGGTTCAGGAGAAAGGCGGTTTTATCTTCATGCTTTGAAGATCCATAAATATCTCTTTTCCTTAAGGGTTTTAGAAACTTAAGACCTCCTGTGACACCAAACGCCCCACCTCGGAGCTTAGAAATAGTGCTTGCCACCATAATAAAGCTCCCCTTTGAACCAATAGCCTCCACAGAGATGTCCTTTCTGTCATGGAAGATGGCATTTCTAGTTGCAATTACATCAGCCTGCAGGGCAGGGGAACTCTGTGCTCTAAGGTGTGACGAGCCCTATATGAGATTGCACAAAGATAAGGTAGTCCTTCAGATGTAGCCTTCCTTCCCAAGGTTGCCAGTCGTTTCCATATGTCACAAGAGATAGTGTTACTGGCTTTTTTTCAAAACTCATCTTCTCCGCTGGAGAACACCCTTCATATGCTGGATGTCCATAGGGCACCGGCTTACTATGGTAAGAGAACCTCTGAGGTTCAAAAGTCCCTGAGACTCTTCTTAAAATACCAGAAGGACGCCAGTGGCCTCCCGGTATCATCTCAGTGACTCTCCTCATGGATTGTTTTGACAATCCGTACAGCGTACCCTAAGTCAGGGAAAGATTTGCCTCTGTAGGTTAGAGCCCATTCCACAAGATCGGTTGCCATATCAACAGCCTTCATGAGGGGTGTTCCACTCGACGTGGTATGCAGAGTGGGTGGGGCTACTTCAACTATCAAAGATTAGTCTCTAGAATTTTCCAAGGCTGCCTGCGCGAGCAAAGGAATAAACCTTCATAGGTGACCACTCGGGGAACTACAGCTACAGGTAAGCAACCCATATATTTTGCAGGTCACATTATATACTATAGCTTCAACGGTTAAAAAGCTGCCTTTTTCCTTCCTCTCTATTTATTTTCCAATGGTAATTCTGGAATCAGAATGGGCACTTCTGCCTCTCAGAGAAAAGTAAAGGAAACTACTGTATACAGAATAGAACTGGCCTCCTGGAACCATACAAACAAAAAATATGTTAACTTAGATCTTATCTTTTTAATAAAGCTTGTTAAATTGTATGTTTTTAACACATTTTTTAAAAAAAAAACCCTTAGTATTACTAGAAATCTCCAGGTAGCTGGACCAGTGGGTCGTAGTAGTTGAGAATTCTGGAAGTTGTGGGCCAAAAAAAGGAGCCTCTGCCAATTTTGTTCGTTAACTTAGCTTGTGTTCCATTTTTGAGGTTCAGGGTATCAGTAAACTTCTTCAGAGATTACATTTTACAAACTAGAGATTGTTTTAAGCCTAACTATGAGAGATTCTGCTTTTGCAGGGTGATTCTCCCAATGGTTCAAGTGATGGGAAAGGTGTCAAATCTTTGGTAAATAAGATGACTGAAGCTTTGAAGACTAAATCTGTAAACGTGAAAGAAAAAGTCATTAGTTTTATTGAAAACACATCAACTCCTGTAGATAGGTGAGTTATTTTTGCCTGATTTGTATTGATGTTTAATGGCTGCAATAGTATACATGCACTCACAAATTAGTTCTGCTGATCTCAGTGGAATTTATGTTTTGAGTAAATGTCCAGAAGGGTGCACTGTTTAATTATGTAAAAAGCAATTTACAAATAGTAAGGTTAAGCCAATTACTTTGAAATAGTTAAAATAACCCGTAGAAATACAACACCTGCAGATTCATTGTTTACCATTCCAGACCTTCCTATTTCACTTAGTTGTGATACCCCAAAAGATATTGAGCTAATCCTTCAACACTTTGACTTATGGACTTAAAGAGAAATCTTATCTCACGCCATTTGGAATCCCACCTATGGGAGAAAAGCGGGATAAAAATAAATAATATTAATACTAATAATAATGTTTAATTTTCTAAAGATCAGTCTCATGTTTAATTTGCCTTTGTGCCTAAAGAAAATTCTCATATTTAATTTCCTTCTCTTTTTATATGTTGTTGTTTTGCAAATGGCTCTTAGGCATACCAGTTTAACATGCAACTCATTGTAACTTAATTCCTAAATTTTAGCATTCGTTCTGTGAACTCAGGAGAAGGTTATCAGTAATTATTTATACCCCTCCAAATAAGAGGGTGAGGTTTTAGCTAAAACTGACATTTCTATCTATGTGGAAAGACCAAAGCTCCAGCTACTTTTCCTGAAAGTCCTAAAATATTCATCTTTTTATGAAAGATACATTTTTTTGTAAGGTCCTAGAAGCATTTGTTTTTTAAATCTCCTTATGCTCCCTTCTATGAAACCTCAAAATCATCTTGGCACACTACTTCCAAATAAAAATAAGTCAGATATTATTTCTCATATATATTTTAATGACTTTGTTCTGTCCTCTGCCCCAATTTGCTGTAGAGTTTCTTTCAATCTTTCCTGGCCTGAGAGTGCAAGTGTGTTGCGGTAAGCTATTGTACAGAAACATCTGAGTAAAACAGCCTTTGTCCTTTTTTAGCATGACTTCACAATGTTTTTAAGCATTGGTTACACTGACAATCTTTCTCAAATTATTATTTTTAAAAGTATGCTTCACGTCTAGCTGTCAACGCATCTCAATGTTGTTTGGAATCTAGATAGAAAAAAGGTTGTAAATATAGTATTTGCTCATATTCATTAGTGCTTTCTGTCTTTCTCACTTTGTTTTATCACACCATTAATAATGCTGATTGCTGCTCTTGCGTTTAGAGTTTTTGGTCAGGTCTGAATCTTGGTTCTTCTCTTCATAGTATGCTGCAGTCAAACCACCACTGTGTCTAATTCACTTAGTTTCCTGTTTTAAACCAGCCTCAGAATAAATCGCTGTATTAAAACATCACATTACTCATATTATATTTAATATTCTGGCTTTTCCTGAAGTTGCTAACTTTTGTTTCCCAGGTCAGACAAAGTGGGAAGTCATAATTAATTAGAAATGCCTTGGTCTAATCATGGCTAGAATGAATGTGTAGACAAAATGACTCTATGTATGGGGAAGGACTTACGCATAGTTGAAATCCTCACCAGAGAAAACCTAAACAATTTGAAAAGCCTTAAAGAAAAATATTTTTATTCTGTTGGTTATCACAGATAAACTACAGCAGGGGTTGAATAAGATCTCCATGAATAAAGTTTGTTGGAAGAAAAGGTGATTAGTTGATAAAAAGTTAGAAGAGCTGAGAAGTGTCTATCTGCCTTCCCTAATGATCACCTTGCACTGTTGAAGGCTTTCATGACTGGAATGACTGGGTTGTTATAGGTTTTTTGGGCTGTATGGCCATGCTCCAAAAGCATTCTCTCCTGAGAATGCCTGCCATAGATGAAGGCGAAATGTCAGGAGGGAATGCTTCTGGAACATGGCCATATAGCTCAAAAAACTTACAACAACCCAGATCACCTTGCTTGTTGAGAATTTCAATAAATTGTAGGAACAGTGGGTTTGCTGCTCCTTTCCTTCTTGGATTATGTTGGCTGATGAGGATAAGGACTACATTCTAGTGTGTCTTGAGAACTTTCAAGGTTAGAGAAGACAAGTCCGTAATTTGATGACTCTTCAGTATCACCAATGATTTCACACACTGGAGCAAACTCTGTGTTTTGTTCCTCTGGAATATGTAGTGTTGCAGTAATGTATAGCATAATGGTTGGAGGACAAAGGATTAAACAGAAGTGGCCAGATTGGAGTTTTTGCCATCAATTTAAACTCACAACTGATTTTCTAGTTGTGGAGTTGTCTATTTAAAAGGAATAGATTGAATTTCATGTGATCAGTAGGCAGTATAATTACCAAATAATGAAGAAGGATAAGTTATGCTGTAAAGGAAGGTGTCATTTCAACTATAGTAATTTTTGTAATGAGTGTTAATATAGTCAGGAGCCCACAGTGGCAAAGTAGGTTAACTTGCTGACTGAAAGGTCAGCAGTTCGAATCCGGGGAGCGGGGTGAGCTCCCACTGTTAGCCCCAGCTTCCGTCAACCTAGCAGTTTGAAAACATGCAAATGTGAGTAGATCAATAGGTACTGCTTTGGTGGGAAGGTAACGGCACTCCATATAGTCATACTGGCCACATTACCTTGGACATGTCTATGGACAATACCGGCTCTTTGGGTTAGAAATGGAAATGAGCACCACCCCCAGAGTCGGACACAAGTAGACTTAATGTCAAGGGGAACCCTTTATTTCTAAATAGTGTGTCCCTGGTTTTTATTGTACAAATAAATGATTTTTTATTGTTTTGGCCTGTCAGGACAGAGTCAGATAATGTTTTTAGTATCACTTATAAATGCAATAAGATCAGAATATAGCATGTATAATTTCAGAACAGTTACTCTGAAAAGAGAGCCAAGGCGGTGTAGCAGTTTAAATGTTGGACTGCAAACATAGAGGCCAAAGTTTGAAATCCCACACAGCCATAGCCATAGGGCAAAGGCAAACCTCTTCTGAACATACCTTGCCAAGAAACCCCATGATAGGTCTGTGTTACAATTACTATAAGTTGGAAATGACTTGAACGCACATAACAAGTGCTCTGAAAAAGGAATACTCAAAGCAACCATAAACATGAATTGCAACACTCATTTCAAAACATAGCTCTTATATATAGTAGTCTTGCTTATCCAACATGAATGGGCCGGCAGAACATTGGATAAGAGAAAATGTTGGATAATAAGGAGGGATTAAGGAAAAGGCTATTAAACGTCAAATTATATTATGATTTTACACATTACGCATCAAAACATCGTGTTTTACAACAAATCGACAGAAAAAGCAGTTCAATGCATGGTAACATTATGTAGTTATTACTGTTTTTTCTGAATTTAGCACAAAAACATCGCAATGTATTGAAACAGCAGTGGATCCGGGTGGGAGGCAGACTTTGTTGGATAATACAGAATGCTGGATGAGCGAAGGTTGGATAAGCAAGACTCGCTGATTTTTCAATGTTGTGGTTTTAAGTACTCCACAGCTCAGAACCGGCGGCCAAAAAAGATCTTACTTTTGGTTTGCACTGATGTTTTCTTTGCACTATTTGTCTAGGAATATCTCTCATAGTAATTGTTCATATATTAGCCAATTAAGACAGGAAACTATAGCTAATGGAAGCAAGGGTTAGGCACTAGGTACACCAGGCCTCTAAGAGACTATAGCGAGGACTATTAAAATTCTTAAGACGGAGGAGGCCATTACAATATTAAGCAATATTCTTAATATTAACCTCAAGAAAATGTTGGAGAGGGTTAGTTGTAAGGCATGTATGTAGTACCCATACCTGTATCTCATAGCAAGCATTTCATGTGAACATTGTCAGTGTTACTGATACTTTTTTGTCTCACGTTACTAATAAGCACTTCTTATCATGCTTTATTTGGGCAGCATGTTTACTTTGACTTTCCCAAGTACTCTCTGCTTTACTGTCCCAAATCCTAGGGGGAGAAAGTTTTCCTGGATAGAGAGAATCATTCCCAGTGCTACATACTACCTATGGTATAAAAATACAATTTTAAATGTATTCTGTGACATCTATTTCAAGAATAGTATGGAATTATGTACAGAATTGGATTCAGTTTCAAAAGCAGACTTGTAGAAAGATTTAATTGAACTAGAATAACCTGCTTTAATTTCTAGAGCATGAATAGCAAGATAGAAATGTGCTCCTTTAAAGCTGTGTTTTTTCATTGAACAAATTACATTGAGCAAAGGATGAATGAGCAGGATACAAGCCCAAGGAAAAAACAACGCTCTCGTTCTCACTGTACCTTTAAAGCTTGTTCTGCTTACTATCTGGTGTGAAGGTTTATCCACAGATGGTTCTTAGGTCAAACTACATAAGATTTAAATATTCTCAAGGTTTTGTTTTAAATTCTACACAAGCTGTGATGCTTTGGGGGGTAAATTAGCCTCAGTGCTCAGGTATTTTAAGAAAGCCTTGAAAAGTATCAAACTATCAATTGTTAGAAAGATAATTCTGGCAATGCTGACTGAGAACGCTGTTGGACCTGATTTCCAAAGTAGACCACACAAATGCTAGTCCCTTTTGATAACCTTCGTGCCTGCTTTCACTAATTCAGCTTGGTTTGCGTTGTCATTTGCAGCACTCTCACAGCTATCTTTCGTCATCTGGAATTCTTTGGCTTCACATGCGCATTCATGTTTTGGCCCCATTGCATGCTATTTTGGAAAAGATGCTGTGATAGTTTCTGACTTTTAAACATGGTGTGGGTTTTTTTTTCTTTCTCTCCTTCTTTCCATGTTTATCCTCCGGCAATAGACATGTCAGCAGCAGTGACAGATTGGGAAAACCTTACCGTGGTGTGAAGCCTGTTTTTAGCATTGGGGATGAAGAAGAATATGATACTGGTACAGTACCAAAATATTTGTATCTGGAATGTATTGTCCCGGTTGAGTAACCTGCTCATGATTTGATTACAAAGAGAGGTCGTAAATACAGCTGTCCATCCACTTCTAAGAGTTTCACAGATGTGGTTTTGGTTATTCACAAGTCTGTACCACTACCCTAACCTCTCAAAATGCAGGTTAGCTCAGGGTAAGAAATGAGGTAGGTGTGTGTGTGTGGGGGGGGGGGGGGGGGGGGGGGGGGGTATTTTCTTCCTGTTTGCCATGCATTTCTGTTTCTCCTAGTATCTTCCTTCTTTTGCCCAGACAAAACAGACACACACAGCATGCAGAATGAGTAGCCACTATTTATTTGCATTCAGGCCAAAAGGCATACCATTTTTGGGTCCGTTTCTGTCTGATCCCTCATTTCGTTTACCAGAAAGTTACCCGAAAAGGGGGGGGGGGTTCCATTTCATTCGGAGGAGAGTTGCCCCATTAACTGTGATGGGAAACTTTAAAGGCTCAATCTTCAACTATTTAAGGCCTATCTGCATGAAACCTACCTCAGTTGTAGAATCCGTTTATAACTGCAGGCCTGCCAAAACTATTCACCAATCTACTGGTTTTTTAGAATTATTTTAAGTTTTAAGCATAACATTTTTTTAAACATAAGACAAATTGCAAGAGTGAGTTCTGGGAATTGCAGTCCCCGTTGTGTCCATTCTCTGTCAATCAGAGCATTGACATCACCAGGCTTTTTATTGGCTGAGAGACACAAGAGAGAGAGAAACTTCAACTCCCATAATGCTCCGAGAAGAACTTTCAGTGGCCACCCTATAATAGTGCCACTGGTAAAGCGAATTCTAAGAACCCTCTCTGGAGGAGGAGGAACTTTCCAAGAAAAAATGGAGGAAGCTTCTACTGCCGGGGAGAGAAAAAGACACCACAGATCCCCCTGGCTCAGGTATTTTGTGGACTTAACTCTTTCCAAAAATATAGTCATTTCGTTTCACTGGTCTTTTCATATCTCTCTTCCCCTTTCTGTTTTCAAAAATTACACAAAAATTGCCATCCAAAAACTACAAATCTTTTCATTAACTCTAGCCACCCCAGGTGCTACTTCACTTACCCTGCAGCTCTGGCTAATCTTTCTCCTCTTCATTGTGTACTATGAATGACTGTTTCAAGTGGGCAAAGAAAGGGAAATACTGGGAACCAGAAACTCACATACAAAAAGAAGAGGGGGAACCAGCCCTACACCTTCCTTTAATGACACTTACCCTGTGGATCAGTTTTCTCTTCCTCTTCCTGTTTGCCAAGTGTTTTGTCTTCTGCTTGCTTTCTCCCTTTCTTTGCCCAAGCACAACAGACACTCTCAGCATGCAGGAAGAGGAAAAGGAACTGAGTGGTGCTTAGGGGTCACAGTGGATAGCCTCCCATCCCCTAGACATGCCCATTGACTGCCTCCCCCCAATATATTTGTAGTTGTGCCACTCTTTACTGAGGGTGGGCTACACCTATAATCCCTGCAAAAATGGAGGGATGACGGTACTATTAAAACACTGAGGCCTACTTACCAAGTTATGTACCTATCACTATGTACGTTTCAAATGTTTATAAACTTAACATCATACTTTCAGACTTTCGACTCAGGAGAATTTGGTGATGAGCCTCTATATAATTACAATATATCCAGGTGCAAATTCTGGAGTATGTTCTCAATCATCATCATCATCTTTATTTATGCCCTGCCACCATCTCCCCAATGGGGACTTGAGGTGGCTAACATGAGGCTGAGCCCAAACATAATACAACAAAATAATATACAAGACAATAGAAAATAAATACAACAAATACATAATACAACAAAATAAAATAAACAATGCGAAAATATGATAAAATCAGTCACAGAGGTCTGATAAAATGCTAAAAACACTAAAAACCCTGGGTGAGATAGGAAGTAGAAAAAGTGTATTTGCAACGGAGGAATCCGAGATGGGGGAGCAGTGGGGCTTGGGCTTCATTAGGGGTAGGGGAAAGTGCATCGTGCAAACAAACTGAAGGTGGAGACTTACAAAAATGGGTTGGGTGGTCACTCTCCGAAGGCACATTGGAAAAGCCAAGTTTTTAGCTCTTTCTTAAAAGCTGCTAGGGTGGGGGCTTGCCTAATCTTACCTGGTAGTGAGTTCCAAAGTGGGGGGGGGGGGACATAGCGGAGAAGGCTCTCTCCCTCGTACCCACTAGCCATGCCTGTAATAGGGGAAGGAGCGAAAGGAGGGTCTCTCCAGAAGATCGAAGAGATCGTGAAGGTTTATGGTAGGAGATGCGGTCGCAAAGGTAGGCTCATTACTTACAGATAACTGGGTACATGTAGACTTCATTTTGCCTCATTTGAATGAAGAATACAGACTCACTAGGATATACTTTCCTGATCTTCTTGTATCAGACCACCTAATAAGCTTGAAAAAATAGCGAGGCTCCACAGGACATTTTGAAAGCACTGCTTTGTAATCCAGCAGGACCAATGCAGAATTAAATGGTTTTTTATTTGCTTTTATCTTCGTGGCATTTCATCTTATATGTGGAGAGGACAACATTAGGCTTTAGAATTAATAGATGACAAAAAAAGAGCTGGTTAGCAGATGAACATTGGCTCTCTCATAATCTTTTAAAAGGTCCGACTTTTGTGAATGAAGGGAGGAAGTATTTATCAGTTGGTTTAGTGCATTCATGAGCTGAGCCACTAGAACTTTTTGTTTCCGAAACTGAACATGTGGTCTGAAATCACTAAAGAATGACAGCTGAACAGCCTCCCCATACTATATTTATAGTTGCTTTGAGGATTGAACTGCACTGCTCCTGGGACTCTGTTGAATCGATTGGATTGCAACATTTTATATTGGATAATTAGGACACATAAATAGAATGGAAAAATTGGATAAGGAAATTGCTCACATGGGAAACTGAGTAAGTCAAATGCATAGCTGCTGATAACCATGGTGACAGTACACAAGAAACGAAAATGCTGTATAATTTGTACCCCGTTATTGAAATAATAGAGATCTTTACTTATAAAATGCTAGCCCCTGTTTTGATATGTTTGCTTCATATCAAAATGGATATAATTAATTTTTATTAATTTGTCAGTGTTTTATTTTATTGTAATTGCTGATGCATTTTGTCTGTATTTTATGTGGTTTATGGGTCTTTTGTGTGCTGTCTAAAGCCGCCCCGAGTCCTACCGGGGAGATGGGCGCAGGATATAAATAAAGTATTATTATTATTATTATTATTATTATTATTATTATTATATTACTGTTGCCAGAGCCAGCATGGGGTTTTGAGATGGTTTTAAACAACTGATTTTACAGTAGATGTAACTGATTTTAGTGTTTGTGTATATTTATAGTAATTTTATGTTCCAGCATGGAATGTGTGCCTTATATCTGCTGTGCTCTGCCCTGAGTCCCCTTCAAGGTGAGAAGGGCAGAATATAAATATTTCAAATAAATAAACATCAATTGATAACCACACTAAATTATTAAAATAATTTTGATTGAAAACTTACACCCCTAGTTTGGAATAAATCCCTTTAAATGTAACAGGACAAAAAGATAGCTTCCATTCATTAGGCAAACATTTATATGTTGTGCTGTTGTCTGTTTCTGTGATATTAATAAATGTTAACGTAATCAAAAGTGCAGTTTTTTTTAAAGCAAGACTACCTCCAATCTTCATGAAAAAACAAATTTGTGAAGAGAGTGACAAAGATATACATGCAAAAATTATTATATTTTATAGTTTTAAAACTCATTGATATATTGTATTGTTTGTTTTAGAAATTTCAAATTAAGAATATGAACATTATTTTTGAGACCATATTGGCCTCTTCAAAGTTTCCATTTAATTTTGCTTTTTTTCTTTTCTAACCAGATGAAATTGATATCTCTTCAATGTCAGATGATGATCGGAAAGAGATTGTCAACATTCAGACTTGGATAAATAAACCAGACATCAAGTATCATTTCCCTTGTAATGAAGTGAGAGAAAACGGAAATAAGTTTTCAAGGTATTGCTGCACTCAAATTATAATAATTGCTCATGTTGATAACCCATATAAGTACATAAGTGTATATGATACACTTAATTACTTTTTCTCCAAATACCTGTTGCCCTTTAGATGCTAGAAAATATGTAACACCACAGTTGCTGCTTTTCCTCTCAAGGAGCAAATCTGTATGATTCCCACGTGTGAGTGCGTTTAGCACATAGACTCTGAGCCATATTTTCCCAATCTCAGTAGAACTGATTTCAGAATAAACATGGTTGACATCAAGTCCAGTTCTCACTTTTCTTTGCAAAACACTAACATTTAAGCTTTCTACTAGCATGGTAGGCTGGTGTTTTGTTGTATTTTGGGTTTTTTTTTGTTTGTTTGTTTTGCATGAATTGGTGCTTTGCAGGTTTTTACTTTATGTTTTACAGTGGCCCTGGTCCTCCCTGGAGGACCGTACCCAGAAGGTGGTCCTGAGGAACTCCTGTTTGAGCCCCTGGCTGTTGACATGTTGGGTTCCTCAGGGTTCCATTTTGTCCTCCATGAAACTGCTGAGAGATGCCATCTGGTTTTTAGAGTTTAGTGCCACCTATATGCAGATGATGCCCAACTCTACTACTCCTTTCCACCTAAAGCCAAGAAAGCTGTCCTGACCCTAAATCAGTGACTGTCATCAATAATGGGCTAGATGAGGGCAAACAAATTGAAACTTAATCCAGACAAGACAGAGGTACTCCTGGTTAGTTGTAAGGCAGATCAGGGAATAGGGATTCAGCCTGTGCTGGATGGAGTCATGCTCCTCCTAAAGACACATGTTTGCAGTTTGGGGATCCTCCTGGACTAAGTGCTAAAACTAAAGGCTCAGGTAACAGCGGTGGTTGAGAGAGCCTTTGCACAATTAAAACTTGTGTGCCAACTGCAACCGTTTCTTGAGAAGCCAGATCTGGCCACAGCAGTAGACTCCTCAGTTACATCCTGTTTGGATTATTGTAATGCACTCTATGTGGGGCTGCCTCTGAAGAGTGCTCAGAAACTTCAGTTGGTCCAAAGAGCTGCAACCAGGTTGCTAACTGGGGCTTGCTGCAGAGAGCGGACAACCCCCTGTTGCAGCAGCTCCATTGACTGCCAGTGTGTTACTGGGCACAAGTCAAGGGGCTGGTTATGACTTTTAAAACCCTAGACCAATTTACCAGCTGTTAGGATTTCTGGGAGTTGAAGACCAAAACTTCTGGGGACCCACAGGTTGAAAACCACTGCCCTAGACAGTTCAGGTTCAGGCTTTTTGGCTGACTATCCCCTTGTAGAAACCTGCCCAGGCCCTGAGATCTTCAGGAGAGGCCCTTTTCTCAGTCCCACTTCCTTCTCAAGCTTGGTGGGAATGAGAGAATGGGCCTTCCTTCTAGGTAGCTGCCCCTCAACTCTGGAACTCCCTGGCCAGGGAAGCCAAAATGGTGCCCTCCCTGCTTACATTCTGAAACCTTTTTATTCACACGGGCTTTTAAAGATGAAGGTGTTTAAGACCTGGATTGTTCTAATACTAATGTTGTTTAATATTGTTTTAATATTTGCATATTTAAAGTTGTATTGAAATGTTTTAATTGTGAGCTGCTTTGAGTCTCTGTACGTAGAGAAAAAGCGGTATATAAATAAACATAAATAAATAGATAAATGAAGTAATTTCACAGCAGAATTCATGGTAGTGGTCGTACAGACAAAGAGACACCTTGTGTTTCATACTAGGAAAGGAAACAATAGCACTTAGAATGGTAGCACTTAAAATGGTAAATAATTGTGTGTGTTTGTGTCCTCCTGCCTTCAAGTCAGCTGTCAATATATGGTAATCCCTGAATTGTATAAGGTTTTCTTAGGCAAGGAGTACTCAGAGGTGGTTTTACCAGTTCCTTCCTCTGAAGTATAGCATACAGTGCCTGGTATCTGCCTATATTCTGTCAAAAAAGTGAAAGGAATATATGCAGCACATGTGATTACAAAGTTTTGTTTAGACTTGTATTATAGTTTATTTTTCCCCATTTTCCACTGCTACAAAAAACGCAGCTCTTCTCTCACTAACATTTGTTGTTGTTGTTTACTTTTTCAAGTCATCTTCTAGTAACTGCAACACATATGTACTGTTTGAGGGAAATTCTCTCTAGAAAGGGATTTGCTTACATACAGTCTCGACAGGCTTTGAGCTCCGTCATTAAAATCACATCCAAGAAAAAGCATCCCGAATTGATAACATTTAAGTTTGGAAATACCACCACGTCCGGCATAGAAATTTTGGCAGTTGAGAGGTAAGATTGTTGTTTGATTTTAACTCAACAACACATAACCCTTCATTTGAAATGTAGTTTCTTCTAGGATTGAATATGCTTTTGGGGAAGTTCAGTTACGAGCCATGCTTAGCATACTGTGCTACATTTTGTTCTTTGGAAAGCCATTTTGTTTTTTGCAGAAGCTATTTTGTCAAGCTATCTCTCAGCTGTGATAGATTTTTCCGTAATAATTTAAATCAACTAATTGGCCAGTAGCATTAAGAAACATGAGTACATTATTTGGCTATGTGTTAAAAATATGTGCTAAACTACCAAAATACATCACACCCAGAATTCTCCACAAAGCAAGTCGCATTTTTCCATTGCAGCACAAACAACCAAAAAGAGATTTGCAACATCTGAACAACTTATTTTAGGTGGGAGAGGCATCTGATGAAATGGTGTCCACAAAATCTTGTGGAATTTTTTGTTTTTTTAAAGTTGCCAGCAGGCTCCACGTTGCAACTTTCCAAGGTGTAAAAATGTATGTAGATAAGATATAAAAGGTTGTGAATTTTTTT